GGCCCTCCGCAACGTTGCTGTAGAAACCTCAACAAAAAAAGTTATAAAAAGCTTTTTCCAATTTTATTATGAAAAAAAAAAAAAAGTTATAACGGTTTAAAGTTATAATTACATTTTTAAAAAAATTTATATATATATATATATGATAAGATACTAAAAAATACACACATAATAATAATAATTTGTTATCTTTGATATAACATATGTTTGATGATAAATAGCTATTACTATAGGACACTACAGTCGGTTACATTATAATTCGCATTATTAATAAAAAATTTACCAAAAACAATGAGAAGTCAAAATAGTGAGTAATACTTTACTTCATACTCTAACTTTCAAATATTTATTCATTTTGTAAGAATGGATTTTTTATTTGGGTAAAAAAGAAACACATTTTATGAGAAATGTGGGCAACGACATGCATGGGTAGAAAAGCCAGCAGAATTTTTTTAGAGATAATTTTATGAAGGTTTATCTTCCAGTATCACAACGGCATTTTTTCATGTGAAAACTTGGCAAGAGGAGGCATTACAATTCATATTATACCACGAGAAGTAGTTTATTCTTTGGGAATGTATTTTTACTCTAATATTAATGACATTAATCATTGTTTGATAACGAAACATTTATAATTCATAATCGTTTTATTATGCCAAATACACAAAACTTACTTTTTTAATTAATAAAGATGATTTTGTATGCCCTTTTTTGTTCGGAAAATCGATCCGCGTAATTATATAAACTAAAATTCGCATTAATATTTAATTTGACAATAATAATAAATAAAGTTTTCCAGAATATTATTATTATGTCAATATCTCCGCGCGGATTTTATTCTATATAAAGGTATTCCATGTACAATCATAATAATAACTACATACTGACGTTATCCTACTATAACAAATTTATTCCAAAATGAATTTTAATTGATTAATATATAACACTGGAGGTCACATGCTTTGAAAACCAATTACACAATGAATGAAACATGTGAATTTGAAGTTGTTTCTTGAATCTATAAATTGACGTAAAATACTTTTTTTTTTTTTTCATAATAAAATTGAACAAACCTTTTTATAACCTTT